GTAACATCATTGCCGCGACAGGTCGTTCGTGTCTCACTATAGTACAGATACGTGCATTTTACTTGTTTGGTGCATACTTCACCAAATTTGAATCTTTACAATAATCAAACCATTAGCATGCTCAAAATGGTTTGTTGTCAAATATTTTAAATCTAATTTTTACTCGCCAGCGTTTTCTTCTTGGTTTCTGACCTACACTTGTGGTCGTCGGGACAAGAAATATTTTATATTTTAAGAACGTGTTTAATTTTGTATTCATACATGTTTATGGTCTAAATATAAATTTATAGACAGAAACAAATATTTAAGAATGTTTTGAATAAGATGTCCTGTTGAAACCTTATATTATGATAAAATAATGAACTGTTATTGTACAATGTAATACATTGAATCTCAAGTTTTGCCATTTTTCTGATAGATTTTAATACAAAGCAGAGTGAAAACCAACGTCTACTAGTGGTGTGTTCAGTGGAGTTAATCGTTCCCCTGTTAATGGATTTCTAAATTGCATTCACTAGACCGACCATGAGAGTTATAGAAATTCAAAAGGGGGGATGGCCTGACAACATCAAATAGGGAGTCTTCGCAGTTTAAAACAAGTTCACATGTATACAAAGTTATTTTGCAATTTGAAAATGTGTTACAAAAAAAAGAAGTATTTGTACGAATCATATATATCATGTATCAATATAGAGTTTGTTGTTGGCTATCAAATGTAAAATAATTATTTATCGAAACGGTTTTTAGCTTAACTGTCAAATGGGCGTATGCAATGTTACGACGTCCGTTTCCAGCCTTTCATTCATTATTCCGTCGGCAAACTTTAAATTGTCACAGAAATCAAGAGAAAACATTCTCCTAAAATATCATAAGATCCAGGTTGATTGTATTTAGACAGTAGCATGCTGGTATGGATGTTAATTAAGATTGTCCTTATAAATGACCTTGAAGTTGTTTCAATCTTATAACACATTTGACTGTTGTGATAAATAAGTGTGTGAAGATTACTTCTTAGGATGAATTCGATAGCAATGTATTCAGCTACTAGCCAAATATCTTTACCCTAAACTTCTGAGGTATCCAGAAGTCGCTAGATGGATTTAACTATTTAATTTAGCTGATCCTTGGGGTGGTTTAGTTTAGATCAATGATTTTAGTCAAAGTAAAAGGTCGCATTAGTTTATTTGAAAATGTGAACCATATTGTAGAATAATGATGTTTATCCTGTAGATACAGATTTATTTTTATTAAGTGTTAAAAAAATCAAACATTGACCCACCTTGAAGGTCACAGATGTGATGTCTAACACATTTAAAGAGCAGTTGAGTGATACAGGCCTATTGGGCCTCCTGTTACATGTTAACCTTAAGATATATAACAGGGGTTTCAGGGTGATCTACTTCATGTTCTACATTAAAGGGTGATTTTATATAGTTTTCTTGTTTTCTTTTCAAACGGAATTATTTCAAAAACGCGAATCACTATTAATATCACGAAAGTTTAATCCCGCGTTAGAAATACAACTCTAACCATGCTTGATATGATAATGAATATGTTTTATTGGATTGATTTCCACTAATCCTACAAGGTGTTGACGATGTACAATGACTGGAGATCCACGTCACCGGGATGTATGAGAGCTACATCAAACGGGAACCCACACAGCTGTATACCAATCTGTAAACGGGATCAAACTTCCTCGTGTTACGTGGTACATACACAGCACGTAAACCTATAATAATGCGACGCGATACAATGTAATACAGCCCTATGCTATATACCGAGTGATATTACATCAAACATTGTATCACTTGAACGGCACAATTTTAAATACTGATGTATTTTATACCATAATATCAAGTTCGAAAACGGTTGTTCACTTATCATAATAAAATATGCAATCCATTGCTTTCTACTACAAGTAGATGTTTCCTGCGCGAGGTTCCATAAATAGAATGCGAGATACTACCATAGTCACGAGGCTCTTCAACAGGTGTTACTAAAAGGGACACTTTTTTGGTTTTTGGCTAACGCTTGGGAATAAATTATCAATACAAACAGAAAATTACACATAGTTTAAACATAGTAAAGTCAATGGAGGGTCTTATTTGATTTCGTCTCAAAATTACTATTTATTTAGAATTAAAATAAATATTTATCCAAATAAATCCGTTGTAATGCACGTTTATTAAGAAATGTTTAGTAATTTATTCCAGTCTATGTGAATATAATCAACAGCCAATTAAGCTGATATACAATTTTGTTGACATAAAATTAACATTGATTAAAAATGCATATAGCAATATGATTCTTTGTATCGTGTGCCAGTTTTCTGGACGGCTTTCTCACAAGTGTCTCGTTTAGGGTTCACTGACTCGACTGATGGTATGGCAACGCGTCATGCTGTGATTCACCAAATTACAACCTTTATATCATATCAAATATTATTATGTCGAATGTTACCTTGACACTTTTCAGAATTCCGTCCTTCTTAACGCATCCAAAGAAGACGCCAGCCATTCCACCGTTCAACCCACGATCGTATAGAGAGACTCCGAGAAGGGACTTGAAAAACGCCACCGGGGTAAACTTCGCTATCTCGTCACAGTGTTCTATCACCTGTATATAAAAACGTCAGAGAAGTAACGAACATCAAGGGGGACTTAATGACTCCACGGCCTTGTTATATTTGTACAACAACAACAAAAAATTTATAAGAAAAGTTGAGTAAATATAGCTTTTTCCGTTAGTCATAGTTTTATCCGTATTGTAGCGCATAAAAAGAAAAACCTTCCCGGAGATTTGCAGGAATGCATCACAATGGCTAATGCAATGACGTTGCTTCATATCACAATATGAAAAAGATGACCTCAACGGAGCAAGTAATACTGAAGCCACAGTCAGATTTTCAAGGGAAATAACATCGGGAAAGATAATCATATACACAGTATTGATCAAATGGGAACCATCCTCTACACCACCAACAATATTTGGGACCTTATGTGTCACAACAATCCAGGATAACTTTGTGACAAGCATGATGTATTATTCAAACGTGGTTGACCGGCTCACTGTCAAGGATACCAATTTACATATTACTTTGGAGGGTCGCTTAAACGTGGTCCGTCTACACATATGACTTTTGTGACCAAATATCAGAGAATGAGAAGTAAATGTATCATGAGTATACACGCAGATCGTGATTTTCTTGTGGAATAATTCACCTGAGTTATCGTTGTTTTTTTTATGTCGGTTCGATTGTTACTGACAAGGCAGGTAAAAGGTAAATCTTTTCAGAGTGCGTTTCTCACTTGCCAAAAACTGCATCAGTTTTCAGTAAATCAGTTAATAGACAATAGAAGTATGTCTCTGATTCATTTGTATTAAGCAGATCTGTACCTTGACTCCGTTCACAGGAATCCATCTGGAAGCAGACGGAGCTTGGCAAAACCGCTGAAGGATGGACTCTGAGGAATGTGGGTTTGTGTCGGGACAGGGAAGGGCCAGAGACGAGTTGAAGTATGTGTACTGCAGCAAAGCCTTTGCTACCTCCAACTCATCACATGATCTGTAACCTTCAAGGATGGAACATACTTTATCAGTCTCAAGAGAATTACCGCGTTATTACCATACAAAGAAAGTATTTGAATCTAAAATATGTATGTGACAACAATAGGGACTAAGAATGCACCAACACAGAGGACAGATATTTAAACGATGGCAAATAAACCGGATGTCAAACTAAAGGCACCGGAAGTTTCAGGTTTACAACAACTTACGGTCGAACTGATGAGAAGATCCGGCTGTCGGAGTCATTGAAGGAGTTGTTAGCAGTGTTGTGGAGGAAGGTTTCCCAGACGACAGTGCTATACAACTTTGTGGCGCATACCCTGTTGAAATACCGTAAATGATGTCGGGCGTAAACATTTACCCAAAAGGGAAATTTCTCTCCATTATCGGCAGAATTAACAAGAAGTCATACATACGTAAAAGTATTAGGGTAACATAGAAAACAATCGGTGTTTGTTTGTAAAATAATAACGGATTTTCGAGCTACTTGCTCCAAATTTCGACTAAACATGTCATTATTTCGAAAGACTTACTTAAGATTTTGAGGAGGTAAGTCGAAATGTTGTGTCATGAACATGAAAATAGGTGGCTCTAATGTTCTTCCGTAATTCTTTAACCAGGATGTTGTCTTCAGATAAAAATCATATTATTTGAAAGCCTAATGACTCATAGTATATTTGAGCCAGCGGCTTGGAAAAGGGACCTTACGTTTCTAATAAAACAAAGCAGTAAATGAAAAATTCAGAATTTTATATGAAAATATCAATAATTTTATTTTTGCATCATGTTAAAGTATGGATAATTATGAGTACTTTAATATGAATGTAAGCAATTGTTTTTACCATAATAGCCTCACTGCAGATGATTGCATTAAAGTAATCCATTTATTTACCTTAAATTAGCTCACTTTAAATTAGGGGTAGAGCAGACTCAACGCAGTTTGTATGGAAAGCTTTTTATTTTAGTAATACAAAAACTTGGCAATCATGCTACTCATGACCTTCTCTTCAAAATGACATATGATGCATTATCATAGACTAACAACTGTTTATTCAACAGAAGAAAATGTAAAATTAAGAAATGAATTCTAAGACGGTGACATCAAAGTTCACCGTAAATATGACGTCACTTCATAACGTCATAACTCCATTTGACAGTTTTGGGGACATCAACTTCACTTTGATGCTATGTCGTTATTTCTCAACCGATTTGTATAATTTTTTCACCAATATTTTCTTTGGACTTTCTATTTTAAGGAAGATTTCCACGTCTTATATGTGCATTTTGAGTCGTAAGGACCCTTTTCTCAGCCGCTGGCTCATTTACGTAAAGGATACATTGCATGTTCTCATGTTATTTTACATGGTATGCTACTGTCCTATACCTCTCTAGCAAGATTTGTTTATAGCATTTTAATGCCTTCGCTTGGGGTTCGAACCTGGAACCTCAGATTTTCTAGTCTGACGCTCTAACAAATAAACTTAAGCGATAATTTTCAAGTTGAGTCGGTAAGAAGTGGTTAGTATTTTACCAGGGTGACAATAATAATTATTGCCGAGGGAATCAGTTATTTAGGATAAACATATTAAATTCCATAATTTATACATTACTGTCCCTGCAGAAATCAGTAGTAGGACTCACACCTGTAGACCATTTCCTTAGATGTGTAGATGGCACTGGTAGAGACCAAGGTTGTACCGTGCCCGAAGATTGTGTAAAAGAGGAGGATGAGGATGAGGAAGGGACCGAAGTGGAGGCTGATTGAAGAATCTGCAGACAACGCAATACTTATGATTATAACTAGGCAGGTATATGGGCAGTACAAATATTATAAGGTCACCTATAACCTAATAAGTGCGCAAATGACAGCAAACTCGCATTTGTTTCTGTTGCTGATTTTTTTCCGTGAAGTTGATAAAATAAAGAATATTTGATGAGGCATCAACATTTATTCTTGAGCCGGATCGAAATCCCTACAATGGCTCGCCATATTTCAAATTTCTCCCTTTTCTCCCTAAAGTTGTCTCCAACCTCGCTACCTACACAACTTATAAACCTAAAATGTATATATCTTTAAGGTCCCCTTTCCCTTAATTAGTCACTGTTATAAATTGTTATATTGCGGTTCACTGACTCCAGCCTCTTCTTATTAACCCTTATAACGTCAAAGACAACCCCGCCCTACTCTACACTACTTATTAACCCTTATAACGTCAAAGACATCCCCGCCCTTCTCTACACTACTTATTAACCCTTATAACGTCAAAGACATCCCCGCCCTACTCTACACTACTTATTAACCCTTATAACGTCAAAGACATCCCCGCCCTACTCTACACTACTTATTAACCCTTATAACGTCAAAGACATCCCCGCCCTACTCTACACTACTTATTAACCCTTATAACGTCAAAGACATCCCCGCCCTACTCTACACTACTTATTAACCCTTATAACGTCAAAG